ACCCCGGTCAAACTTTTATAGAGCTGGCACACAAAGTCTAATAATGCTGGTAAAATTTTTGTAATGCAGGTCAATAATCATGTGCACTGCATTAATTAACATAGAAGTTATCATTATGTATGTACGTACGTACGTACGTATAATTTGCAATTTTATTGTATCTATAATGCCGAAATAATAACTTAACTGGAACGGCCGAAAAATCACTTGGCAGATTTTTTATCAGCTGTTTATGAAATTATGAAAACAGCTGTAAAGAGAGAAGTTTCTTTTTTTTTTTTATAAAAGACAGAGCCGGGCGGGTCGAATCCGGATTCGGACCCAAAACTTGGATCCATGCAGAACACTAGTTATAACTTTGCTCTAGTAGAGCAGATTCAATTCTGTAACTTGCAAATGGTAGATTAATAGTATAACTTATTGAGACATTTTCTAATTTATTTTATTAATTTAACTAGAATTCTAAATTATTAAATTCTAATTCATTATTTATAAATTTAGACTAAATACATGCTAAAACCTACATACTGTATAATATATCGAGATATATATATGCATTTATCAAGACCTACATATATTTGAAGGTTAAAATATGTGGATTTTTAATATAAACGCATTAATATATATGAACTTTGCATTTGGCAATAAAAAAAAGGATATCTTGGAGATTCTATTATTTAATAAACGAGTAAGAATTGTTAATCCTAAATCCATATCGATATATTATGTATAAATTGATTCTTTTATGAATCTATTTGAAAGTTCATGACAAATAAATTAATAAAAATTTGAGTTCAACATCACAACATACGCATTATTTTGAATTACTGTCAGTGCCAGTTAATGTGAAAAGCGTCCAAACAAATAATTTTTTATAAAGCATTTGCACCCAAAATATATTCAATATGTTAGATCTTACTAGTAAAAAATCCTAACTATCAGATTTGATTATATGTGTTGCACTATGATAGTTGATCATTTGTTGTGAAACACCCAATATCACATCATAAGAACTTCGTCTATGTCTTCTGGTATAGGTTTTAAGTCATAAAAATAGTAGTCATCAGGTAAGAGCAACCAATCTCGTACCCTTTTAGAATCGCCAGATGGAGAAGAAGAATACATTTTTTTTCGTAACTTCTCTTGATTTACAAACTCAGATCTAATTGTCATGAAGAAATTAAAAATTTTTGTGTAGTAAGAAATTGTATCAAATGAAAATGGGATCAAACAAGAAGCCAATTCAACGGCTAAGAATTTCTTTCGGTCTATGAGTAAGATGGAAAACAATGTAAAACGGTCACCAATAATCTGGATACTATAGGTCCTTATTCCTTTAGTATCATCGATACTACAATCTAAATTATTGCCAAATATTCGGCAAAGACTACAGACAGACATCATTAATAACTTTTTGACATCACCAACTGTGCGTGTTTGTTTGGTTTTAAAGGGGGGACCTGAAACTTCTGTGCTTATTATTTCTACTCCATCTGATAAATATACGACGAGTAAATCTGTTTTTCTTGAACAGATATCATCTTGAAATATATTGTTTGCTTCTTTTATCGAAGTAACATTTTTTTCGATCCATTTATATTTGATATCGGGGAATGCATTCCGGAATGCTCTAAAGATAGGTGAAATACATTCAACTATAAATGTTCTTTCAGACATATTACGATCAAGGACTTTTGGCAATCTATATTTGAAATTTGCGATAAAATTTAAGAGCGCATGTCGTACAAAAAAGGCGAATCTTTCTTCTTCTGTCTGACTATCTCCGATGGTAATTGTCTCATTAAAAATTTTTGCTTCAATTTTTTTGTAGTCTGTTTCAAATATCTTATTCAGCTTTTCAACAAAAGTTTCTTTTAAAATAAGATGGTCTTTCATTTGTAATTGCTCTTTTATCTTTATGTAGATTTTTTCTTCGATCGTTTCCTTAACATAATTTATAGTTGCATTAAATGCGCAAATAAGATAAGGAGAATATTTACTATACATAATTTTGGTGATTATTGGCTTATTTGGTGTA